CAGCGCCCCCTGCAGCCGCACGGGAGTCACAGCCCCGCGGGGCCGCTGCCCGCCGCAGCCGCGCCCAGCCGAGAGCCGCCGCCCACGGGAGGCCTGCTGCTGCGTGTCTTGGGCGGCGAAGGTTCCACCATTTCAATATTTAGCATTTGTTCACGTGTTTTTTTCCGTTTCTTTGTCTTGCGGGCATCTTTATATTTTTCGTTAATAAAGAGGGGTTTTTCACTTTCACCCCTTGGTGTCTGTTTCTCTCATTGGCAGACACCCCTTGGTGTCTGTTTGTCTTTCTCTTTGAGGGAAATGCTCATTCCAGAGCATTTTTGCTCCTGAAATTTGTCTCGAAAGTGAGACAACTACATTGGTTGTTTACAGCTAAGCTTAGATGTCTGTCTGTCTCTTTGGACTTGTCTATATTGTAAGACTGATGGTTCTACTTTACTAGTGTTGGGGGTTTTTTTTCAGCAGCACTGAAACAGACATTAAATTGCTTTTTGCAGATCTAACTGGGAACTTGATGGTTGTGACAGATCTCCTCTGCAGTCCCTGGAAATATCAGGCAATTATGGTGGAGATGAGGACATGGACACAGATCTTTCAGGTGCTGATAAAGAGTCAGAGTCCAGCTGTCAGAGTAGTGAGAAAAGGGAAGGAAGCTTTAGCACCAATGCTATTTATGCTGTTCCCTGCAAAAGTAAGCAGGTAAGATTTTTAAATGCATTAGTTCCTTTACCATGTTTTAATATATTAATGCATGTTAATATTTCAAATGCTTTGTATTCTCTTCTGACTCTTCAGATATGTATTCAATATTTATTTCACATACTAGTTTTTGTGATTCGTTTACTCTTACATGAGTAAGGTAGGTTTGTTGATTGTCACAGAGTCTTTCTCTCTGGTTATTAGGAGCACACTGGTATTGTGTATAATTATTATGTATCATTTAGTCTTGTGAAATGTCCAGTAATTTATATTGAGAACAGTACTTACACAGTAGATGGTTTGTTAGAAGCACTAGTAATTTTACTGATAAATGGTGAAAGCTTAATTAATGGTTTGTTATTGTGCTAATGAGCACAGACCTATATAGAAATGGGGAGATTCAGAATCAAACAAAATAAATTAACCTTTTATTGAAGACCAGGGAATTTTTCTATGCTATGATTTTAAATTGTCTCAATTAGCAATGAAGTTAATATTCCTAAGGCACATTTAAAGTTAAATGAAAAACGACACAAAAATTTAACAAGCAGGAAGAAGTACCTGAGTAGGAAAAAGGCAATGAAAGATCTCTTTAAAAATGCCTTTTCAAAAAAATCTACCACTAGTAGAGTAGAGCCATCAGTCTTAGAATATATGTTACAAATCTCAAAATGTGAAAGAATCCAAAAAACACCCAAAGTGAAGAGACAGTAGCAGGTAAGAGGAAGAAACAGGAAGGAAAAAACAAAAAAAGAGAATGAGTAGAATATGACACTGGTGTGTGATCAATGGGAAAACCAGCAAGGATAATGTTAGAAATTGTTCATGAATCCCTCACAGCTGTGATATAGTAGATAAATGATTGATGCTCATGATTACGTACACCACAGCAAACAAGCAAATAGAGAATAATTTCATGGACTCTTGTAACCAAATAAGGTGACAGAGAATACTTGCCCTGTGAACTAAACATTTCATACTTGCTAACCTCCTGTTGATCATTGTAAGGCTAATATTTTATTTACATGGGGCCCTTAACAACAACACAAAAAAAAAACCAAAACCCTAAGAAAACAACAACAAGAGAAGAAGCAAATCTTATCATTTATTATCTTAAAATGTGAGTGAACAATTCTGAACGTGGCTGGGATGTTAATACACTGTGTCATACAGATATCAAAGTACATGGGCTATTTTAACAGTGATCCCATGATTTAGAGAGGTTTGTCTTATTTTTACATAGGAAGAGTTTCCACCATCTCCTGTTCCTAATGCTGACGAGAAAGAGGTTTCTTCCCATGAAACTGAGTGTCAGGTGGTGGTGGATAAGTCAAGTGTGCAAATAGAAGGTAAGTAAACTTAATTTAAGTCAAAATGCCGTGCCTTTCAACACCATTTTATTTTTTTTAAATAAAATAAATGTAATGCTATATTGTAATATTCCTTTTTTAAAAGGAAACTTAAAGAAATGCTACTAAATACTTCACAATTTCTAATAGTTGCAGAAAGTTAAAAACCTGCATAAAGAGGAAAGATTGGTCTGTATTCACTGTGGAACAAACTGTCAGACACTGTAAAATGAGGGAGTGGGGAGGAAGGTTTTGTGAACTCTTGTCTTGTAAAGTACAGTCATAGAACTTGTTTTTTGCTATCCCATTAGCTGAAGATTTTGTAGAATGCTTTCTGGTGAGAAGAAGTGACAGGAATGAACAGAAGTGAACAGGCCTTTAAGGCCCTTATTCTGTAAGGTTTTTCTGTAGCACTCTGTAGCTAGTGGGTAGGAAAGAGGAAGCAAAAACGAGTCAATTTTGGAAAAATTGTGTCTTCCTAAATCTTATTCATGTCAAGTCCCAGCATTTTTTCAGTTTTATATCAGAGGAGTAATTTGAAAAGTTTTATAGAGAGCAATATTAATAAAAAATGGTTGTTGTGATAAAACTATTTGGGAAGCAAAGGCATTAAAGTGAAAAAAATATAGAAGATATATATATATATATGTATATATATATATATGCATGCATACTGTTTCTAATCCCTCTTGTACATATAAGTGCTGCAGGTTTTGAAAGCTGTCAGAATTACACTTGTTTGGCTCAGAGATGCAGCACACTATCCAGTGTGAGGTAAAGTGAGGTCTCACATCAGTGTCCTGACACACCATGAAAGAGTTAGTGGCAAATTAATGATCTAATCTAATTAGATTAGTGGTTTGGGAAGGAGTTTCATACATTATTTGCATGTATAATATGTGTGCACAGATATCCTTAGGAACCCTTATAGTTTATGGACTTAAAATAATTTTTGTTCTAATTGACTGAAAGATCTGTTTTTCTTTAACAGAAGACCAAAATCTGGGCTTGAATTTAAAGGTAAGATTTACATAAAGGTTGATTTATGATACATTTTGGAAAATAGGGTGTCATAAAAAGCTGATAAGTTTGCAGTCACTTAAAAGAAAACACATTTATTGCCACTGTGGAATCTTTCTCTTTTGGAATACAAGAATGGCTAATCATTCCTTTAGGAAAAATGTAACTATATAGATAAATGGGCCATACAAAAGTTGTTGGGTTTTTGTTTTTTTTTTTATAGTATGTTGTCTGTTATCCCTTGTGAAAGAAAGAAACTGAGAATTAGAGAGAGCTCATACTGTTAATTTTCAAATTCTGAGCCCGACTTTACTCCATTTTTCTATAGTTTTCTATTTGAGCTGATCTGACTGCTTTCATAAGCTTGAAAAAAAATAACCAAAAATTTAGTTTTTTTGATCAACTTGCTAGATTGCTTGTTCTTTGCTAGAAGATTGTTTATGAAAATGGTCAGTTCTTCCATTATTATCGTAACTTTTTTCTACAAGTTCTTAACCATATATCTTTTTCTTTGAAATTGTTCATGAGTTTTATCTCATTTAGTCATTGGTGTCACTCAGTATCATCAATGTGTTAAATTACATTACAGTGTATCCTTACAAAATTTCACTGCTGTTTCATATAAACCTGGAGAAAGTCTCTATATCACCTTCACCTTAAGTAAACACATTAGCACAAAGGACACTGTAATTCTTCCTGGTGAAAGAACCTTCTGAAAATGTACAAATACTTTGTTTTTTTTCCAGCAAAACAAGAACAAAGTTCTTTGACTTTGAAAAACATTTTCCATTTTAATTGATTTGCTGATACCCAGTTCGAGACTGACATAATTGACTTGTCTAAAGTCTCACTCTATACAAACTAACAAGTGAGAGGAATACTCTTCCTGTTTCCTTCAAGGAGCTTCGTGTTTATGTAACTTTCATGTCAGCTGTAAAAAGAACAGTTTTGAGAACATTTCTGACTACTAAAGATAATAGTGAGTTTCAGGTGTTCACAAGTGACTGATGGCAGTGATAATTGACAAAATGATGTCTAGATGAGTAGATGATAAGTTGTATATTATCACCAGCGAATCCAGCCTTCAATTTTGTTGATATGAAAGAAACTCCTTCAAAGGTTTTATTTCTTAAGTTCTCCAGCAGTGATGCTGTTAAAGCAAATTGTTTCATTTTTTATTTCTCTGCTAGGAAGAAAAATTAATAGCTGAAAATCTGATACATGACAAACCTCCACCATCCCCAGGTACTTTGGATTATTCTATGACTTTGCTACACATTTTCCTTTTATTAATATGCATATGTATATGAAAACACATTTTCCTGCCTATATTCTCTAAGCCTAATTTGCATGTGTGAAAGTATTTTTCCTGTGCAGGAGATGAGAAAGTGCTCTGTGATGTGTATACAAACAGTAGTTTCAGGCTTTTTAGGTTAGGTGGTTTAGACTTGGTTTTATTTTCCACTGTGAGTGATTTTTGAGGTCTAAAGTAAATGAAACATTGTGAAATGATGTAATGAAATTAGTCACATTGGACCTCTCCAATACATTAAGTTCAATGTACACTAGAAGATGTCACCATTATTAAGTATCCTATTGCTACTGAAATGGTAAACACAGAGTCATGAGATACATGGTCTGCCATGAGTTTATTTGTGTGTTTCTGGATCCACCTGACACCTCAGGCACAGTACTGAGCTCTGTGTGTCTCATGACAGGATATGTGCCTATTATGAGTTTATGGGGTTTTGTGTATGTCCAAGTGTCTTATGCCTTTTCACAGGAATTTAACAGTGGACACAATTGCCTGAGATATTACTAAATGCATGAAGTTGTTACACATCATCAGTACAGGAGATAGCTCTGTATTGGGTTTCATATATAGCCTATTCTGAGGAACTGCTGAGTTTTATCAATGTCTGTGTGCTATTAGATTGTCCTGGTAAGGTTAAAATCTCTGCCTTCATTTCAGCTATTTACTCATTACAGATGGAAAGGAAAACTTGGAGTGAGATACATTATTATTGGTGCAACAATATATCCACAGTTTAGCAGATAATCTGAAAGGTTACTTTTGTAAGAATTGTTCAGTAATTTCTATTCAGTAACACTGAAGCTATTCAGTGGGAAGGAATGCAAATCTTTCGTTGCATGGGTGATTAAAATTTGTAGGGATCAAAAATACTGACTAGTCCATGCAGGGCACAAGCACTTTCCTAATTGCAGTGGGCATTTCACTTTTACCTCTCCAGTCACTGATGTTTGGGAGAGAGAGATCTGCTCACACTCCCTTTTCCATTAAAAGAAGGAAGTTTCTAATGTCTGAGAGAAAAGATGGGAACTTACAGCCACTCCACAGCTCTCTTTCCAAATCCACTTTTTTTGTTCCTTCTGGTCTTATCTTTTGGGAGCCGTGAGCTGATTTAGATATTTTAAAGTATGACTCATATATAATGTTAATATTAGAAAAAAAAGATTGTAATTTGCTGAAACTTCTATCCCAGTCTGGATACCATGTAAATAAATACTTTGTTTTGTGGCATTATAGATGTGTCTGCTCGGGCAAGGCAAGTATGGGAAAATATAAGCAAAGAAAAGTTCAGAGAACTAAAACAAGAAAACTGGTCTCTGAACAAGGCATACCAAGCTATGGTCCAGCAATTTGAGGGAACAAAACAGCACATAGAAGAACAGCAATTAAAGCTGAAACAACTAGAAAAAGAAAACAGAAGACTTAAAGAAGCTGCAGAGAACTCACATAGAGAAGGTGGGAGAAACATATAAGCTATTCTGTAGTTATCTTGTTTAGATTTTTCTGGTTTCCTACAACCTTTTCCTCTAGCAGTAGGTTTCAAGTCATTGATTTAGGCAAGTATGCAAGCAGAAGTAGTTTCCAAACAGAATATTCTACATTTGTAGAAGTTTTGTCAAGGAATAAGTACATGATAAGAAAAAAAAAAATTTACTTATTGTTTGAAATATAATAGACCTTTTGCTTTTTCATGAGATTTTTCCATAACAGTATTTTGAGATAAGTTATTGGTTATTATTCTAGCTAATTTATTTTTTTCATTATAATTAACAAATTGTTGTGAACATTTCTTGAATTTTAATGGAACTTTCTTGTTGGATATTTGTTTTAATAGGGGAGGCAACAGAATTACTTACTCTCAGACAACAAGCACAGGAACTGGTAGATGAAAATGATGCTTTGAGAGCTATGGTCCATCGTTTAAATGTAGAATTAAGTCGCTATCAAACTAAATTCAGGTCATTGTCCCAAGAAGAGGTGAGAATCTTGGTTATCAAGGCAGTTTCTATTGAAATGTCCCATTGTCTGTTATTTAATCTTTGAATTTTTATAACTGTTTTCTCCAGATTTGCCATAAAATCTGCAGATTGCACAGACTTTTTCTGAAATTTAAAATAATTCAAAATAATCATTTATCATTAAGTCTAGTATTAAGAAGTCAGTATCATATTGTATCACTAAGATACTGAGCTTTCTCTTTTATTTGGTATGTGTTACATATGCAAGTATACAAGTACATATACAAGTAATTAAAGCATAAACTTGTTTGGGGTGCTAATTGTGACTATAGTGGAAAATTGCTGGTGCTTCAAAAAGCAAGAAGTAATGTCAGTATCTTTTAAAATATCTGCTCTAGAATCTAAAGCTGAAAAGCTTGCCCATGAAAGGACCACAACCACCATGGCTGGTAAGTCAGATAATATTTTCACTGAACTGTACATTCCTCTCTAAGTAAAGTAGTAGAATTTCTTTACTGCAATCAAAAGTATTCAGATATTACTCTGCTGAACTATCAAATACTAACAGAATATTATAAACATTTCTTTTGTTGCAGAAAAATATTTATGGCAGAACTTTGTCACGAATGTGTGCAGTTCCAGCTGAGCTGGAAGTAGCAGTAAGCTACAAACTGCACACAGTCACCAACTTTGAACTATTGAAAAGTATTGTTATGCTGAGAATCATAAATGCCATCTTCACTTTAGATTTGTCTAGCATATAGTTTGCTTTCAAGGTCTACTGCTTAATTGTTAACCTTAATTGTTAATCTTTTGCTGTTACTCTTTTTAGGATTGTACTAAAAGAAAACAGGATATTTCTGATTGTATGAATGGTCATGGATCCAGTAGTAGCCTATGAATTTCTGACAAGGGGAAGGCAAATAGTCTGTGAAAGAGAATGCATTTGTAACATGTAAAACAATTTATGTGTGGAATACTAATCAGATCTTACATTTTCCTTCCTCACTCTTACTGAGAACCGTACAGAATGGGGACAGCTCCTGCTCTGGCTTTTTAGCCAAAAGAGACAATAATCACATACATATGTATTTAGTCTTTAAAGATGCAGATTTGAGAGTGTAAAAATTCCTTTCCCACTTGTTTATGAATCTGGAATAATTTTTTTTGCAGTAGCATTCACTATATGTTTGAATCTTGTTTGGTGTTCATTTGCATCCATATTCTGCTGTGTTACATATAGTGATAAGTTAAAGCTGCTTTTTAGAAGAAAGATGCAAGTAAAGCATGCAGTCTTTTCCTTTCCAAAGCTTGCTCCTAACACAGCACTATGAAATGTTTCTGCAGCATTGTTCTGCATATGGTGGTCTGCATGCTTGTTTAAGTTCTGCACTTTAGTTTACAAGTCATATATGAAACCCCTTTAACAGCTTTTGAAATGAATAATCTGTAGCCAAAGTAAAATATACAGATGGAATTATGTCTTGTAATTAATTTACATGTGTTTATTTTTTAATTTTCTTCTAAGTTGGATACAAAGTATTTGTCACCTCTTCTGTTGGCATATGAAGATAGAATAAGAGAAAAGGAAGCTTTTATTCTTGAACATGAGGCAAGTTGCCATTTAGAAAAAATACACACTAAAGCAGAAATAGATTACTGAATTTTTTTAAGGGATTTACCAGTGCTGTTGTCTGCCTAAAATTGAAAGTGACTTTGTTCTACTTTTCCATGCATAGTTATTGTGCTGCCTTATCCTACTTGGCTTGCTTGTTTTTGTCAGCCTGTTCACATTTAGGAGCATGCACTACACTGAGATATGTAAGATGTGCTCTGAAAATAGAGCAAACCAGAAACTAGTGAGTGGTAGAAAGAATTTGTGACTGTCACTCATAATGGGAACTAAGTGCTCTGTATAGCTCTTCTTGCAGCTGCTTGTGGGTTTTGTGGTAGAAGAATACTTCCAAAAGATGGGTACTCTTTTTGCTTTTTAGAAGTATTTTTTGTCACTGAATCTTTGAAAAATAGCTATTTGCTTCTGAGTACAACTTTACTAGGTTTTAAAAATAAATGTATTTCCATCAAAAAATTAAGCCATAAAATAAGCAGAAAACAGCAAGGGGTTTTATATTACTGTAAATTCACTGTGTTGTCTTACCATATTCAAATCCATGTCACTTCTACTGAAAATGGATAGTATAATCCAGTAATTTCCTGAGTTCAGCTTTTTAAACTTAATAAGGGTCTACAACTTGCAAAAATGTGCTTTAATATCAGTATTGTTTTTAATAAAATATTACTAGATTAATGAAACAATTCAGAAATCAAATATGCACACCTGAATTATAGTTGAATAGTGAGAAAATACTCTGTTACAAGAACTAGAAGGCACCTAAGCATGTGTACTTATAAAAATTTTTCTTGATGTAAAAATTAAAGCAAAACAATTATAAAGAATTTTATATGGAATCCTTTGACTTCCAGGAGGATATGAAGAATTTTAAAGCACGAGTTGAAGAGTTGGTGAAGGAGAATGCAGATCTGCATGAGCAATTAAATAACTTCACTACTCCTACAGAGTGGCAAGTTATATTACTAGAAATTAATTTAAAAGTTAAAAAAATAATTTTTATTTCATGCAAACTTTTAAAATTCCAGATCTTAAAGAAATTTCTTTTTGTTCTCAAACATTGTTTTTCTGAAGAATTAATGGTGTTGTGATTATCATGTTGAAAGAATGCTGATCTGCAATGCCTGGAATAATTTTGGAGTAAAGATGAAATATGAATGTGGAGTTTTGCACTGGAAGCCCATGTAATTCTGTCCTAGATACTGCAGTTCACATACTTTTACAGTATGCTAATGACATCAGTTTCCCACTAATAAGAAATAGCATTAAAATGTGACATTAGAAGAATTTGATGTTCTTGAGAAGTGAAACAATGTAAACTAAATGAAGTTAAGTAGTTGTTGGAGGTTAGGATTTTTCCTAGTTTTTTTCTTTTTTATCTCTTATGGAATTTTCTCCTCTTTGTGGCCTCAGAGATGGGAATGATGGTACTTGGGAGACAAAAATTGTGGCTGGGAGGAGGAGGAGGAGGAAGAAGGGTGCAGCTGAGTGCAGTCTCTCGGCTGGGGGGTTTTCCTTGGATGGCAATCCCTGTAGAGTATATTCAGGTACAGAGAACCAAAGCTGAAAAGGTTTGTGGTGTAGCCAAGGAAATGGAGAGCCTCATTTATTTGGAGCTTAGGCAGATTGGCCTTTCTCACAGAACAGAGGCTGGAAAAGGACAGTGTTGCTCTCTGTATGAGCAGCAGGAACAGGAGACATGGCACACACAAGAAATTCTTATGCTGTGTTTATGGTACTCAAGATAGTGTTGAACAACAGCTGGGTATTCATTCACCATAAACAAACTGAAAGTGGAAAATGGAAGATAATTCCTAACCAGTGTGACAGGTTTTGGAACAGCATCCCCTATGAGTAAAATTTTTCCTGCACCCATGACACAGGTAGTAGTTGCATGCAGAGGCTCAGATGACACAGTGTCTACATGAGGAGGACTTTGGAAGAGACAGCATGCATCATAATCTTAAGTCTTTCTGCAGATTCACCCAGTGGCACAGGCCTACTTTCAATGAGGCAGAAATATGGGTGTTAGTGTCTGTATAGATTTGGTTACCTCAGGTCCTGATACTGCTTTCAATAAGGATTTTTAATCTGTTTCTTTAAGGAGATTCAAGTATGATTTTGTAAGTTTACACTGTTGAAAATCAGCTGTGTTTATTCTTTGGACATAATATTTGAGTTATATTTTATTTACAAACCATTTATCACTGCAGGGAGTTGCTGCAAACTCAGGCCAAGCTGGTCTTGGAAGAGAATGGATTGTTGATGGAGCAACTCAAAATTCAACAAGCTAAAGCAAAAGATAGTCACAGACAGCATGTTCAAGAAGGTAAAAGTGCTTGAGTTGCTAGTCATCTGAACTACACTAAAGATGGTACTACAGGCTTCAATTTTTGTAGGGTTTTTTGTTTGTTTTCTGTTGTCAGCTTTTGTTTTGGCAAGCTTGGCAGAACCGTGGTTTTGCTTGACTGGGGGGTTTTTTGCAATTTTATAATATGCCTAAAAAAGTGTCCTTGAATGTAGGTCATGTTAATAGGAGATCAAGCTCTGGATGTCAACTGATTCTGAAAAGAAATGTCATTATCACCTATTGACACTAAAAAAATACTCCATTTTGATTTACTTCTGAAAAAGTGAGAACTGTTAAACAGCAATACAGTCACTTGCATAGTTGAAGAGCATTTTAAACTGAACCACAATTTTTCAGAGTAAAATGACATTCCAATGAGCTTACAGCCCTGAAAAGAAGTACTCTTGAAGTTTCTGCACTTTTCCAAAACAAGTTGCTTGAGACAGCAAAAAATCAAGTCCAAACTGTTAAAACATAAACTGACAATTCCTCTGTTACATAATGTTGTAAACAACTAGGAATTAAGGTATTCATGATTTTGTTGAAGTTTCACTAGTGGTTGAATTAGTTCTGCTGTACACAGTTGACTTTTTTTTCCCTCCTTCCAAAAGTTTCAAAGTTGACCAAACAAATAGTAGTCTTAGAAGATAAGAAACAGAGTCAAGAGGAAGAAATAACCGAGTACCAGAAGCAGCTAAAAGCTTTGTGTTCTACATGTGAAGAGCTGAAAGCCAAATTGGATAGCAGAATAACAGCAGAGGAGCACTTGGCTTTGGTGAATGATTTAAAAAGGTATGAGCTTACATATGGTGCACAGAGAAATCTTGGTGCAAATGCACATGACCAGAGCACGTGGCATTCTGTAGGTAGGAGGCCACTGGTAATCCAGGAAGGTAACTACCAAAGCACAGCAAAGAAAGGGAAAGAAGTATTTAAAAAATACTGTATTAGCTTTTAGATATCTTTAAAATTACAAAAGGAAATCTCAGTTCTAGAAACATTGGTAGAAGTGTTTTTACCATGAAGTACCTACTGCTAATTATACTATTTTAAATAGCAGAAGAGGAGGCATTAAAAATACCATCTTTGTCAAATCTACTTAGTTCTATCAATACTGTATATAAAACATTCTCATTCTTTGGAACATGTCTAAAGAATCCTGAATTTCTGAACTAGAAGTTCTGAGTTTCTTCAGTTGTTACAACATGAAGGTTGCATGAAACAGCACAACTCAAAAGTGCTGCTGTGCAGCATAATCTGCAGAGTAATGTTTCTGTGAAGATATTCCATAAATTCCTATGCTTTCAACCCTTTGGATAGTGCAGGTTCCTGTTTCATAGTACAGTGCCATCCTGAGAAGCCCTCAGACATTTTGGCATTGAAAGTAATTTCTTTGAAAAATAGAAGCACTAAGGGATTACATCTGTACTGCATAGTATTATAATTGAAATAAAGTGCAGTCAGAAGGAATTACTTGAATAATTTAGTCATGATTTTGATTTGAGATTGTAATACCTCTCTGATGTCACTAGTGAACACTGAGCACTCTCTGCATCTTATTTCATAACTTCAACATGGGTAGCTTCCTGTAACTTACCATTTTAGTGATGCTGATCTATACATGATAGCTGTTCTACACTGTTGGTTTTTGCAGCTCTTTACAACAGGAGCAGGAGAAAAAGCACTGTGAGGTGGAAGCTGCAAAGGGAAAGATAGCATCACTGCAAACTGAAAACAAGAAATTGCTCTTAGAGAAAAATAACTTAATGGCTGACAAGAAGATCCTGGAAACTGAGATGCAAGTAACTGAAAAGACAAACAGGTATTATCACATTATCATTTTCTTGTACAGAAATACTTCTATTTCTAAAAACAACAGAAATATCTGTAAAAATATTATCTGACTTCACATAATGTGTATTTTCTACCTACTGCAAAAAAAACATTTCCTAAACATATCTTTGTCATTTCTCGAGGCCTGATTGTCAACCAGGTTTTGCTGACATTTGTATGCTCACTTTTCTGTGTCTATGTGCAAGTTAGGAATATATCTTTAATTTAGTAGCTGGCTATAGCAATTAATCATCAGGTGTACTCATCTGACAGTAAGATGAGTAGACAATACACTATTTGCAGTTAGATAACAGTAAGAGTTATTCTGTTTGCAGATCTTCTCATGCACCAGGCTGCTTAGAGATGAGTTCACAATAGTTTTAAAAGACAATATTATTGTTCCATATCTTAAGAAATACAAGCACGTAGCCATTGCACAAACTGTTCTTTTGAATCATTGTTACTGTTGTTATTCAGATAACATATTGTAATGAAAAAACAGCCCCCCAAAAATGGAACATGATATTTTGCATTGCAAATATTCTGAGCCAGTGCATTTTTAACAGCATGTATGATTGTTTGAGACTTGAATATGTTGATTTGCACATGTGATACAAGTTCTTTAAGGCCATTACTAATTCCCAATCCAAAGATTTTCCTCCTTCTTTTATAGACGATTAAAGAAGAAAATAGGTCTTCTGCAAGTACAGCTGGAGGAAGCAATGGAAAAAGAAGTCACAGCCCATCACTATCTAACAAACCTCATTGGGCTGGTGGAGAAGATAGCTAAGGAACGTGATCATCTTGTATTTTTGGTAATTACCTTTAAATAATTAATATGACTTAATTGATATTTCACACAGTTATCATACTACTGGCTCGTTACTATTAATCTGAATTATCAAAGAATAAAGCTGCAATTCCAGTTGAGGATTTAGCTCTATTTAAGTGTACTTTAGCAAATAGGATAGGAGCAGTGAAATATTTTTTCCTAGAGGAGTAATTAAAAGCAACTACTCTTATTTCTGGAGGTAATATAATTAAACCTTAATTCATACGAGCATTAAGGTCTGCAGTAGCACATATAAAGTGCAAAAGATTTTTTTAACCTAGTTTTAGAAGTTGATGTTGAGCTACCTGTATTTAAAAATAGCACACAATCATAAAATTTTAATATTTGGTTTTGAGTCTAAGGGTGGATAGTTATCCTTGAAGTGATCTGTATGGACCTTCTGCTGTGGATGCATATGCATTTTATTGCTCTTACTGGTTAGCAGTCATTTTGACAGGCTGATTGAGAGTTTTGGAACACCTTCTGTTTAGTGCAAGTTCCTGACTTGGAGGTTTCTGGGCTTTTTGTAAGCTCATTTTGTTTCTTTTACAAGATACTGGGCACAATTGTGATTTTTCCTATTCATACTCTTGTCTTCAAATTGAATATGAAATAATTTCACAAAACTTTGTTAAAATAAAGCTTCTTTTACTTGTTGTTTGGGTAGTAGACAAAGGTTGTCATCAGCAGTGGATAAAAAGACAGAGCAGTTAATTACTAATTCTAGAAGAAGAACTATGGTGACACAACTCTTGTCCACTACACACTGGACTTCAGGACTGTGAAACTGGGCACAGTAAATGTCTCCTAGAAACTGGGGGAACTGATTCTTAGATCTTAATCTCTGGGATATCTACTTCTAAATATTAAGTATACCATATTAATATCCCTGCCTGAACCCCTACTAATTTCAAGGGCTTGTTTGAGAGCACATTGCTAAATGTGACCCAAAGGATGAATCTCATGCATAAAAATGGGATCCCTACATATACATACGTGTGTAGAAAAAGCCACAGAATTGGTTGGGTTTACAGTATGTTTCATTTCAGAATTATACTGCTTCACAGTATTCACAGTTGAACTGTCAGTTGACAAATTATTAATGAGCCATTACAAGAATAATTTCCAGGACTCTTTGTCCATGTTGGTTCTTCAGACTGTTGGGAGTTTAAAATGGAATTGCTGTGTCTCCCTCAGTGTATGCATTTTGTCTGCCCTGACAAACAGAATGTCACATGTAGCTTTGTATACTGCATGGTTCCAGGCCAGATGTTTGGAAAATGAGAATCATGGTGTTCTCAAGAAAATTATAGAAGGCAGCCTACGCTTAGGAAGATTGGAAGAAAAAGTTAAGGTAAGCAGTGTTTCTAAGCTGAATATCCATCGTGAAATGTTTTTAATGAGAAGAGTAGTTAATCTGTGTCAGTGCTTTTATGAAAGACTTATGTATGGATTATCTTCAAAAGTTTTGAAAAAACAGAATAGATCATCATAATTCTCACTAGTGTCTTCTTCTGTTGTATTTGTGCATTGCATATCTGCAGTGATCATCACATTTACAGCATTACCTGGAGAATTATGACTAATTGTAATACTATTTAAAGATTATTTGTATTTAATTTTTTTGCTCTATATTGTAACCCAAGTATTCTGTCCTCTACTTTTTTGAGGTTGTACCACTCCTTCAGCTTGAATTCCATTACAATTAGATCTGGAAGAGTGAAAAGCATTATCTCAAGTGTACAGTTGCCATCAAGTTTCTTTCTTGTGACTACAGGCTGAGAAACTCAGAATATTCAAATATCCAGCCTAGTTAGAGAATACATTATAAGTTATCTTTACAACTCTCTAAACAAATAAAAAGCACATTATGTAATTGCAATACGACAATGGAATAAGTTTGAAACATTTATGTTTCAGCATCTGGTGCTACCATGATTGTTTTTACTGTAATCTTAAAAAAAAAGAAAGGAGATAGATACCTGGTATATTGGTTTCTATATCTAGAAAGTGATGTATAATAGTACATTCAAAAGCTGGTTTATATTAAGTCAAGTTTGTTCAGTCTATCCTTAAGCAGAAAGTTTCCATATTATACTTTGCCACTGCTATTTCTGCATCAAATGACACAAATGTGCACAAATCTATTAATGGAGACCATCTCCTTCTGCACTTTCGTTGTAAGGATTGACATAGAAATTAGCAACAAAGAAAAGAAATGAAATTGTAAGTGTAAAGAGAGAGCAGTAAGCTGAAAAATAGCTTGAATTTGTAAGGAACCCTTCATAAAATACCTGAATGCACAAAACACTACTGTAAAAGATTTACCTAATTATACTTACACAGTCATAAAATATTTTCAGCTTTTTTCACCATCATTCATGTCTAGCTCCCCTACTAAGACAGTGGCTTGTATTCTGGTTAAATGTGAATCTTCTGCAATCTAATAGATCTGTGATTACTGTGAGGGATAGAGAAGAGGTTGTCATAAAATTAAGAATATATACATGCAGTGAATTTTAAGTGCAAAACCAAATAAATCTTTACCCACCCTTAATGGAAATTATAAAAAAGCCATAAAAGATCCACTCATAAAAGTGGATCTGGTCTTCTCATACATAGTTCTCCCTTTTAATTAACTCTTTTGGAGAAAGTAAATTAAGAAAATTCTATGGTTTTTGTTTTTCTTTGAGAAATCTTAAATTAAGATTTGGTAGATCTATGAATTAAGACAAAAATCTTTAAAGCTAAACAACAGGTTATTGCTAAAATAAAACCCCAAACTATGTCCATAATTGTATACATTACTTTATGACATATCTTCAACTGTTTATGCTAAAGTAATATAGCAAATTAAAAGTGATTGTTTTTATAAATACCCATTTTTAGTTTGGGATTTGGCAATTACTGTAAACAAACTTTATAAATTCATTCACTGTGCAAAACATTTTGTAGATTACCAGTATAGCCACATGAAATTTAGAGAGTAATAGAGCAGTATCAAATAAGTTGAATATAAAATAAATCATTTTTGTGCAGGAACTTTGTTAAGGAAGCAAAACTTACTTTGGCATTTGAGTTCTGAAAACATTTTTAAGTTCATTTCTACTTTTATGTACTTATGCCAGATACTTTTTTCAGGCAGACTGAATAATGAAAAATATTAAAGGTTACTTAAAAACTGTTCATCAGTTGGCCTCTTCAGTCCTCTTCAGTCCTCTTCAGTACCAGCACCTGCATCCATGATCATTCCTTATCCTGCTTACTGTGTGCGTGGGATGCCATGGCCTTGGGCATACCCTATCCAGCTCTAGAGGAAAATATTATGACTTACAGCTCTATGTTAACATCATCTTCCTGAAATCTATCATCTACACCAGTCTGTTTGCTACTTGCTTCACTTCAGAGAACGTTGATAGGTTATCTTGAACAATTCAAAGGTAGCAGCCTGCTGTGAAAGATCTGTAAGTGCCAGCAGCTGCATGTGTCAGTGTGCCCAGAACCATCCCAGCCTCCCCAGGCTGCATTTTACACAGACTTAATTATAATCCATCCATAGAGACAAGGTCAGAACTCATACCTGGTTTCAGACTATAATCATATGGCAAAAAAGGTGCACTTCTGTCCTCTGATTTTGCAACCGTTCTGCACATGGGACAGGTTCAGTTGGCAAAGGTAGAGCTGGAGTGCAGAGCCAACAGAGGCAGCTGTGGGGTATGGAGGAGCCAGAGGCCTGAAGCATCTCAGGCAGAGTGCAGCTTAAAACACAAACCTCAGCTTAAAACACAGACCAGCCTGTAGCTGGATGGTCAGTGACCACACGATGGGAAGCAGGGTTTCACCAACACTACAATTCACCAGCCTTCTCCATGATAAAACTGAGAGAGGAAGTTTTCTCTTGTTTGAAATGATTACAGGCATCTAACCTACAGAGGGCATTTCAGGTCCCACACCCGGGCTGGACCTGACACGTGCTGGAGCTTTTACTGACAGAGGGGAAGGTTCAGCTGTTTCTCTATAGTCTGCATTTCCTCTAAGCTGGCTCTGAGTAACCTTCTGTTCACAAGGAACTTGTTTACTTTTAGCCTTCTGTAACATTACTCTAATCATTTTGAAGACTTTTCTGGGAATCTAAAAAGTTGGTTGATGTTACTGGTTAACTTGCAGGCTTCTTATTCTATTAGAATAGTCAGGGAAAAGTTAGGATAAAAACCCTATGTAAGTCAGCCTTAAATAGTGAATTTCTAATATTCTTGGTAAATATTATCTGTTATTATCCTATTACCTCTAGAAAATTAAACTTTACAATGATACATTTTGCAAGAGCTGAAAAGGAAACTGTGGAAAGGATTATACAGCCTTATATACAGCACATATAAAAATGCCTTTTTAAAAATTCCTCCAAAAGGCAAACTCAAATCTTTCTCTCCTGATTCAGATGAAGATAAAACCTTAGTGATTAGCACTTGAGTTAAAACTTGATATTAGCAAGACATAAATAGCAGTATTTTCAAAGCTTCATTAAATTAGTTGACAGTTTTATTAAAGGTGTTTTCAGCCCAAAACTCTGTTCTGTAGCCTGTAGGAAACATCACAGTAGGCAGAGAATATAACAGTTTTAGCATTCTATTTGTAATCAGTAGAAAACAATTTAATATTGGATTTTGGTATTGTCAAGAGCAGCAGCATCTAGAAATGTGTAACAATACACAAACCGGTTTTCAGTTCCTCGTTTGCTTATGCAATTTAATGGGGATGTTATTTCAAAAAGCAAAGTTACTTTGTACAAAATCATTTCTTACTTTTGAGATGAGATCAGTCATTAGTTACCATTTAGTAATTATAGCCACAATCAAAAAATCATGTGTGCTTCACTGAACAAGAGGACTGTTACATGAAGCAGCAAGCAAAGCTATTATTTTCTTCTTCTTGTATTAAGATTAAACAACTAACAAAACAGAAACACTTTTTCATGGTATGTACTGATAAGTATGACTGTTCAGCAGCTGGTAAGCAACATGTGCTGTAAAGTGTAGCTTTGTATATTGGAAAACAAACTTTTTTTTACTAGTAATTGTGTTCAATAAAACAAACATACAGTATGGTATTTATTATACACACTAGGTTTATATGCAGAACAAAATGATGTGTAATACCTCCAAATTATCAAATAGGTTAAAAATATCCCTTAATGCAACCTACCTGACATAATTGAGCAAGGCAGCATTGATGTAAGGATTCAACTGAAAATCAGTATCTGTAATAGTTTCTTTTGTTGGTAATGACTTCTTTCTCCTATAATCCCACTTCTATTCATTTTAACCCTTATAGGTATATAAAAAGAAAGCAGCTGGGAAGCTTGGAGATATCAGTCTCAAGATGACTGAGCAGGAGAAAGAATTTGAAAGGAAAACTGCTCAGTATGAGCAAGAAAGAAAGCACCTGCAGCGTCTGCTGCAAGATAAACAAGAAACCCTCAATGAAGTACTGGAACAAAACAGGTGAGTGGGGCACAGGCAGGAGCAATCCAACTAGGACCTACAGGTAAAGGGACAAGGGAAAGCACCTACAGCAAGCCACCAGCACTCACTTTCCAGCAGAGTCTCCTGTGGTATGTTCTGAGTCGCTTTTCTCGCTCATTTTAGCTGTGCTGAAAATGCTGAAACCCTGCTCGTGATTCCCAGCTCCTGGAAACATCTTTGGAAGGAGGAATTTATTCTATATGGCTACTGCTGTTCTTAAGACTTGTTAAGAAGGATATCAATCTGAGAAGGATATCAATCTGAGCAAATCTTTGAGAATTTGAAAGGATTCTATAAATCAATATATATTTATCTTAATAATTTAATTTATAATGAATTAATAATTTGATTTATCTTAATAGCACCTTCTGCTAAAGGTTGAACGCTTACCCATTCACACCCCTCAACAGTTTTCAGCAGGAAGGGAATCAAATGAGTACACCAAAGACCTGTTTGCTTTCAAATCTGTCTTACTGATCTATTAGTAAGTGACTTAGATTGGCTATGTGCAAAATAAAGAGAGGAAAATTAACAGATTTATAGAAGATTATGACTGAAGTGTTGAGATATCCTTTATGTATAGAGTCCTTTGAAGGTATTTTTTCCCTCTGATAGTGGAAAGCTTCATAGCATGTTCACATTATCAGCATAAAAGAAAAACTGTTTACAACAGAAAAGAAGTAACAAGCACTCATTTCTCAAGTCATCACTGCCATTGTGAAATAATAGATTTAAATAGATTTTAACAGACAATAGAAAAACAGGGCTTGGTATCATCTACTTTATATCAGCACACTCCCTCTCAGTTACTTTATACAGTGCAATTAAACAGGTGTAAGTAGCAGAGTTGTACAATGAACATTCCATTAATCTCTGAAATTTGCATTAAAAACCAGATTGAACTGATACACATTTCTCTGGAAATAGTTATTTAGAATTTTTAACTAATTAAATGACTTCCATATCTCTGGGTTCATGTTACAATTTTTTACTGTAGAGAACAGCATTAATATGGATCATTCAAAATTTACCTTTCTAGCCCCAAAGCAGGAAAATTCGATGATGTAACACAGATGTGTAAAATAATCAATTATACTTTCCATAAAGTATACTAAATCACTTTTAACTTTTCAGTCTAAATTAATTTTTTTCTTCAGTAAATACACTCACAATTAATACTTGCAGCTACCTTTTAAGAAACAAGATCTGAACCTGAAATTACACACTGTAGTCCATTTAACTGTATGATGAAGAAAAGTGGTTTATGGAAACAAGCCCAAGATGAACCCCATCAAGATGTCTTTAATTTCTGTAGTTTCCAACATTATTGAACAGTATAACAAGTGACTGCTTTTTTCTGGTGGTACTTAAGTCTTAATAGTGATTATTAGAATATAATATAATGAGCACAACTCTAAAAGTAAAGAAGAATTTTTACGGTCATCTTCGAAGTAGTATTTTGATTATCCTCATGATTCACTATTTTCCTTTGATTACTGTATTAAAAAATGTAGATTAAAATAAATGTTACTGAGAAGTCAGCTGAATTCTACACCTATATAAGAAATAATAAATTTTTATGCTTATCAAACAAAATCAATAAAACCAACTAACACCATGGCTGATACTGTTCATATGACCAAGTTACTTCATATTCCATTATTCTTATCAAGTACTGCAATATAATGTAGTTTCTCAAGGTAATGCAAATATGTATCTACTCTATTATGCCTATCAGCCAGAAATAAAACATGTGTTTTGGTCAGCTTTGAGTATTTCTAATTTTACAAGGCTTATTATTTTCTCTCTCCCTTCACTCCACATCATCACAGGAGTAAGGAATGGAAAATTATTTGTAGTTCAGATGTTGCTCCTCATCTGTAGCTTGGCAACCAAAGTTGCTAGTGTTAGAAGAGTACCAGACATTTAGATTTATTGTGACTAGCTGTGTTTACAGAGTAGATTTTAGTCCAGAATACTCTCCAGCTGATGTTTCTGTACAAAATGTCTACACAGACATTAAGATAAGTGCATACAATAAATATTTATTCTCTAATTTCTAATTTTTTCTCTAATTTCACTGTTAAATAATGAAAATCAGAGTAGCATGCCACATTTTAAGCAGAAAAGACACTTTAAAATCTAGCTGAAGGTATGATGAATCACTGTAAGCAGGTGAAGACAGAAATCTGTTTCATATTATTTCTTTTGCTCTTGCATTTAGTTTAATAATGAGTTAGGAAGTCAGGGAAAGTGTGACTTAACTACCACCATGAAATTCTTTATCATAAAAGCATACTGTACCTAGTGTTGCTGTTAAGTTTTCTTGTAAAGCAAAGCAAAATCCCACTTCAGATGTGGAAAGGGCACAGTTCTTTCCATGAGACCCTGCAGAGATAAGCGTTATCCGGAGTGGTGGCAGGTCACAGCACACTGCACAGCCAGCGTGCCCCGAGGCAGAGTTGCTGCAGTCTCAGCATGCTCAAAGTAATGCATGTGACAAAGAGATGGATTCATGTGCTTTTCTCTCATTCTGGTTATAACAAGTCTACATCCAAACTAGCATGGGCTTTCATCAAAAGTAGCAGAGAGGACTTGCCCTTGAAATTTCCTCCTCTCCTGCATTCTTTCACTTCACAACAAAAATCAGGAGTTCCACTACTTACCCATTGCATCCAAGGGATGAGAATTTTTCTACTTGGTTTTCAAAAAAGAAACAGATATAAATACAGTTGTACTTGGATAAGTAAAAGCTTTTGAAGCTTTTAAACATACACAGATTTCCCTTCCTGGAAGCTGCTCTGTAGAGCCTTCCCATTAATTACAGCCTTTGTATTATAACACTTCGTTCTTCAGGTAGCTGATAATGACATTATTAGTCACTGGGTAATCTTGAGAGATACCACTATCACATACATTTCCTTAAATCAGAGATTTGAGATATAAACAAAGTTCATTATGTGATCCTAGAGTAAACAGGTTCATAAATGTTTCCAGTCTTATTTGACAGGACACTTACCTTTATGAGTTTTCTAGGTCAGAGTTTATTTCGCAAGACTTCTGCAGAGAAACAGAACCTCAAGGTAGTTACAGCTGCTGTGCTTTGGATGCAGAATGTAAGTCTGAAAGTGCATTAAACTGTCCTTGGAAGAGCTTGAAAAGCTTCAAGCTCAAAGCTTGAAAAGCTTTGCAATTGTGCATAGGCAAGGGGGAGGAGCTGTCTTACCTGAGGTGACATACGAAATTATAACCATAATAAAAACTGTTGATCTTTGTGATAAGGAATATTTAAATAAACTGCTACAGGATAGATGAAAATGAATTCTTGAGCCAGCCCAAATAAGATTCTGAGATTATGGCTGAATGAATTTAGTTCAATGAGGGCAGAAAACTGTCTTTTTTAAAGAAGAATCTGCTTTCAGAACCTACTTCTAGTAATTTTTTCATCTTCAAACATTAGTGGGGCACTGGCATTTTGCTAACTCTCAACAAGTTATAAAATCTTACGTTTTGGCTAGGTATTAATAATAGCCTACATTAATAAGAAATTCATTTAATGCCTTTTGTCTAAAGATATCTGGAAACAGCATATGTATCTAAACTGAGCATGTATCTAGTTTTAAATACCAAATAGCAAAGACTTGTGTTTTAAGAGGCAAACCAGCTGTACAGGCAAGGAAATTTTGGTGTTGGGAAAAATGTACAGAGCATCAGCAGCTGCAGTAGCCAAGCTGCTCTGTAATTCAAATTATAGAGGGAGGTTGTGATTAGCAAGAAGACACCCTCTTCCCAACCCATTCTGCTGAATGCATTTTTAAATTTCAATCAGGTCAGAATTTTCAAACAACATCCCCATGTGTAGCTACACTTGGGATGTTACCTCTTCTTCAGATGCTCACCTGGAAAACAGCTGGACTATGAAGCAGTGCCTTGTGGCACACTGCAAAGCCTTACACAGCGTGCTGTGTGTGCAGCAGGGACAGCTGCACTGCCCTTTCCTGACAGCAGTGTTCTCTGACTGCTCATTGCAAAGCCAAGTCAGATAGCACTCTCTGCATCTCAGCTCTGCTTAAAAATCACTCCTCCAAGAAAAGTTGAGATAAACTTCTAAAGGCATCTATTTTCTTGCTGCTGAAGTAGTTCTAACCATGAATACACTTTTAAACTAACCTCTCTGAACTATTTTTTTTTTCTAAAATCAATGTAGTTGCCTTTAAACTGAACATATGGACTGAAAATGGCAATCCTATTTGTCAGGCATACTGACAGCATTAAACTATAATTTAGAACTTGCTGATCTTTAGTTTCATAGTTGTACTTCAAGTATTCTATGCCTCAGACTCATGCAAGCATTAACAGCGAAATGACCTAAAAAAGCCAGAGAAGTCTTGATTTCAGAAATTAGCAGATGAAATAAACCCTGGGTAATGATCTGTACTGCAATAATGATAAACCAGATTAAGCTTTCCAGTATTAATTGTCAAACATAAGAGTGCTGTGCACAGTGCTTGAAGACTTGTATTGGACACAAGGGACAACAGAGAACCAGGGTGTGTACCTATCAAGATATACAAGTTCTCTTAAAAACAAGGTGCTGAAAATGTTCCAACATCACAATACAGATGTCAACCAGTGAGTGAAACTGAGGACTGCCAGTTGGGGAAGTTCAGCCATGAGATGTGTATGTCTCACATCTCCCCCAAATGTAGGCTGAGGATAATGGTAAATGCCATTGTGTAAAACATTTTGAAGCATATTCTGAGCACTGGTAGTATTAGACAATCTTAGATCATCTCAAGTAGAAATGAGAACAAATCTACAGTTTTGGTGTTTCAAAAATGAGAGATTGCTACTTAATGGCTTTTTAGTGACTTGGCAGAATTGGAAAGGTCCAGCTCATTTAACTGTGGCTGCTCATGTTCTTGGGCAGCCTCGAACTATTAGCCAACTGTACTGCTTTCACTGCCACCTTTTGCTTTGATTCCATTCTCAATGGTTACTGATGTTCAGAAAGAGTTCATTCCAAGCAGTATGTACAGGAATAATCTTAAGCCCTTCTCTGTAAGGGTTTTTTTAATCTTCTATTTATATATCCAGTCATAAGGTGAAACACAAATTGGGCTGGTACTATGTCTGGGCCACTTCTCATCACTTCATTCTCAGTGTTCTCAACCACAAAGGATTCTGTAAGATGTACTGATTCTATATTTTCTGGTGTAGACTGTGGAATTTAATCTCATTTATGTTCTGCATTGATTTGTTTCTCATTTTTAGAGCCTGGTATTGGGGACAGTTTGTGTAGAAGGCTAGTTCTGTTCAGTGTTTCATGCAGTGCCCTCAAGGGGCACTGTGTGCTCATTTTCCATGCAACAGCTATGATTTCCACATCAATTGACCTTAATTTCCTTATTATTTTGTATTTTGACATACACTAGGAGTCAGAGGAAACCCAAGCTCTTGGGCTTCGTCTGCCTCCTCAGTTTTTACCATTTTTGTTTGGCTCTCAAAGCTGCATCAGCTGAGCACTGACACTGCTCAGAGCCTTTGGGCTCTGCAGGGAGCAGAGCTGTGGTCACCAGGGAGCCGAGTGAGCACAGGGTGGCAATCACAATGTTTGGGGCTCACATGCTCTGTGTGCAGACTAATCCAGCTTGTTACATGGGTCCAGTAATGGCTGGTTCTACATGGGTAATTTTCTGGTCATATCCTATTCAGCATTACATGTAATGAGCTTTTTAAAAGCAAAATAGGAATGAATTTCAATCAGATAATTTCAAGCACCTAAATACAGGCTGTTTCTAATTTGCTTATCCACATTACTATAATTCTGTACTGCTGGAACATTGTTAAAGTTAGGATATCTCTTCATTTTTTTCCTAGGAAAACAGAAGGGGAACTTGAAATCATGTGGGAATCCACAGCCAAAGAAAACAGGAGAATGAGAGAACTCTTACATAAATCCCTGAGGAAGAACAACATGTGGAGTGCTGTCACAGTTCATGAACCACACTCTCAGAAGGACCTAGTTTATGATTTTAGCTATTGTGATGTGAAAACTTCATCACCTACTAAAAATGAAATTCAGCAAGAATGCCAGTGATCTGCACCTCATCCAAGAAAGAGAACTTGGTGCCTGAATTTGACTTTTTCAGCAACACAAGGTGTAATGGAATGTTTACTGTCTTCAATATAACTGTATTTTTAAGGTCATCAAAATTACAACAGTATATTCTCTGCTTGTACTGTGAATAGTGTAAACCTAGCCTAAAATATTACATTGCTGTTTGAAGAAAAGGCTGTTCCTTCTTAAGACAAAATGTGATACAACTTTAACATGTAGACAAGTAACAATTAACAGGATAAGCAGCTGGTAAGCTTGATGTTCAGCACAGGCAGACACCTGAAACAAGTGAACAGCAAGACAGTGCTTGCTAAAACTAAAAGGACAAGTTTCAGTAAATTTTCCCCTAAAACACCAGATGAAGCATGATCCAAGCTGAAAAAAAAAGCGTGGCTTGCACTTTATCTCATGAGGAAGCATCTTGACTTCCTAAGATGCAAGGCTGTGCTTATACTAGATCGTGTGCCAATAATCTTGTCATCTCAAGGACAGGTAAGAATTTGACTGTGGAGCAGACAAGATTGAAACATCCTCATGACAACAGCTGGTGCCTGAGTGCACAACTGTCCACTGTGTAGATTGTCAGCATCCCTGGAGGTGTTGGGAAGCTCGTGCCATGGGTTTGCCAAGGGTGTGAGCTGCCAGCACAGGATGCAGCTCTCCTGTTTTGTTCATCTTGCTTCAGATTCAGAGGCTTCGAAAGCCACCCAAAATATTCTCTGAAGCAGTGCTCATTGTGTATGCCTTTAGATTATTGACATGTATTTGTCTTAGCTTTCAGATTTGTTCATTTTTCACAATATTGCACATTAATGTTATACTGGTATGTATTACCATGATGTGGTTTTATTTTGAATTTACATATAACTTGCTGGATCAGCTTTTTGGTTTTGTTTCGTTTTCATAACAAAATGTAAATGGTACCAGGAAACTGTAACAATACAAAAAACATGTAATTATCATAGTTTTGTAGTATTAGAAGTAATGAAGAATTTCATTTGCTTTGATCAAAGTTAACAAAAAGAGCAGAAAACCAAATTAAAATATCAAAAGAAATACATAATGTTTGTGTCCAGAAAAGTTCCTGCAGCATTTTCCTTCAGGGTAAGGCCAACAGAATGGCTTTATTCAGGAGAGGGTGGGGACAGCACTTCCAGTCACAGCATGATGTTCAGGGACAGGTGCAAAAAGGTGCAGCTTTCAAAGCCACGTTCTGCAGTACAGTGCAAAGTTAAAAGATCTACAGACTAAGCACTGGCAGAATCTCAGTGCACTCAGGTATTACCCTGATTATAGGAAACCACCAAAGTAGCTGAGCAAGTGAGATTTTAGGATGTACTTGAATTACTTCCCTTTAATAGGAATGAACCTCAACAATCTTACCAGTACATCAAGATACAACTTCAGCTAATAAGAGTCTTTATGACACTGATTAACAGAACTACTCTCTTAACAGCACACTATCTTTTGGTCTCTGCCCAGAGACTTAACAAGAGCTACACCTTTGAATCCTTTCATTCTCCTGGCTTTTTCAACTTGATTATTTTAGGACTCCATGCCTCAACATAACAACCAGACACTATTTTTAAGCAGAGCCTTAAATAACTTCATTAATATGTGAAATGGTCATGGGGATGGTCTATCTCTAAACCAGTCCTGTCCCATGTCTTCCTTGAATTTGAAAAAAAACCTAATTTGAAATGTCAGGTCTGAAATATCCCTTCAGGTAAGTTAGGCACACACACTCCTCTCATTTCCACACAAACTCAGATCTGCAGCTGTGCAGACTCTGGCAGAGCATCGAGCATGGCTTTACCCAGAGCTTTCCACGTTTTTAAAGGCAGGTTTGGAAAATGAAGCCTTTCATGTCCTATTTTTTAATATAAGCATCTCTGAAAATGCAAATACAATCTCAGAACTGATTTAATATTTAGAATATTATCCTCATCTGGTTTTAATTGCCCTTTTGAGTATGTTTTAAGAGTTTGTAAAAATAAGCTTTTGTATTGGTAATTCCTTAGAAACAGAAGCAAGATTTTCAGAACTCTAAATACTGGCTTAACTGTTCCTCCACTGAAGTGACCTGGGAATGTCTTAGAACTGTACTTTTGCCACACCTGCTGCCCATTTTCATGGCTCTGGTTTTAGAGTAGGTTTTAATACGTGGTTCAAAGGGCAGCACCTTGACAGTGACACTCCTAAGGATTTGTTCCAAAATGCTACTCTTGCTTTGCCATTTGCCTGTCATTAAATTATGATGTTAAACTTTAAATGAACTAACATTTAATCAGATCCCTGGATGATTCTCCATACTCAGTTTCCACAGGAAGAAAAATGAGAAAAAGTTATGTTCCAAGGATGAAAAAGTTCTTTTGTGGCTCAGGAACTTTTTTGGCATAACAAAAATCCTGATATAGATTAAATACATATGAGTGTATTTTAAATATATATGAACCCATTTGACATACTTGGACAGTAAAATACTGGAATTTTTTCAGATCAGCAAAAGTAAACACATTTGCAAGTATGCCAAGTGTTGTACAAATAGAATTGATGATTAGACAGGTGCTTCTCTCCAGTTCCTTCTGACAGGAAAGAAGCTGATTCTCTCTTTTATTACAGCTGAAAGAATTGGTTTTCCTGTAAAACTCTTTCAGATGAAATATAAATCTTATGCTTTGTATGTGTTTCATCTTGCATTAAACCACTTGGTTTTAGTATATTTCTATGTACAGAAAGCACACAATATAATGCTGATTGCTGACCATTGATTTTATGACTAGAAAAAACATTAAATACTAGCATTACACATATAAACATTCTTTTGAAAAAAATAAAATATGTTTTTCATTAAAACATCCAACATTTAAACATAAAGGAAAAAAACCAAAACAAAACAACAGAAATGTCCTGCTACAATTACTAACAGAGTTGATAATTTTAAGAGCTAAATTGCCTAGCAGGCAATACCACTGCCTAATCAAATCAAAATCCAGTATCTCAAAAGCTAGCTAGAAGGAAGAACTTAAATGATGTATCTCCATCTCTTCTGCACTTAAGAAATAGTTAAAAAGAAAATAACCTTTTAGCACTGAAAGAGAAAGAAAAGCCACTAGAAACCAATCCAGTTAGAGACATTTTGCATGTTTTGGCAGTTGAATCTTTTCAGCTTCAGAACACAAAAAACTGAGGATAATTCTAGGAGGTGCAGTTAAGAAGAGTTTAACAGCATTAGGTGATTACCAAATGTCACAAGGAATAGTATTTCTGAAACTCATTTACTTTAACATAACTTAAATAAAATAGCTTAAATAAAGGGGTATCAGGCAGATAGGTGTGAAGACAAATATGCATTTCATCATAGTGTGAAACTCTAGAGTGATCAGCAGTTCTTGGTAGAGCCACCAAGGATTTGTGAGAAGACAGTATCACACTTGTACTTACAAGTATTACACTGGTTAGTTTTGCACAGCCTGGTTTTTGGTAGCAGGGGGGCTACAGAAGAGGCTGCTGTGAGAAGCTGCTGGGAGCTTCCACCGTGCCCAGCACAGCCAGTCCCTGATGGCTCTGAGGATGGACATGCCTCTGGCCAAGGCTGGGCCAGTCAGAGATGATGGTAACGCCTCTCTGAAAACATATTTAAGAAGAAAATCAAAACAAAGTGGGGGCATAGCTTGAACTCCAGCCAGAGAAGAGCAAGGTGAGAACATGTGAGAGGAACAGCTCTGCAGACACCAAGGTCAGTGCAGAAGGAGGGGCAGGAGTGCTCCAGGCACTGGAACCAAGATTCTTCTGCAGCCTGTGGTGACCCATGGTGAGGCAGCTGTGCCCCTGCAGGCCCTGGGGATCCATGGGGATGCAGAGACCCACCCACAGCCCCTGGGGATCCATGGGGATGCAGAGATCCACCCACAGCCCCTGGGGATCCATGGGGATGCAGAGATCCACCCACAGCCCCTGGGGATCCACAGTGTCAAAGGCCTTGCTGAAGTGCAGGTACACAACACCCACAGCCTTTCCCGCATCCACTGGTGAGTCACCTGGTCATAAAAGGAGATCAGGCTGGTCAAACACGACCTGCCACTCCTAAACCCATGCAGGCTGGGTATGATACCCTGGCCATCCTGTAAGTGATGACACTCAGTATAAACTGCTCCATTATCTTACCAGGTACTGAGGTCAGGCTGACTGGCCTATAATCACCATGATCCTCCTTCCCACCCTTTTTGAGAATGGGTGTCACATTGGCCAGTTTCCAGTCATCTGGAACCTCAGCAGTCAGCCAGGACTGTTGGTAAATGATGGAGATTTGCAAGCTCACCTGCCAGCTCCCTCATCACCCTGGCTGGATCCCATCTGTCCCATAGATTTATGAACATCCAAGTGGCTCAGCAGTTCTCTGACTGCCTCTTCCTGGACAACAGGGGGACCATTCTGCTCCCTGACATCATCAACCCAGGAGGACAGCTGTCCTGAGGACAAGCCACTTTCCACTGAAGACTGAGGCAAAGAAAGTGTTAAGCACTTTCACCTTCTCCTCATCTGCAGTTACTAAGTTCCTCATCCAATAAGAAGCAAAGGTTGGTCTTACCCTTCCTCTTACCATTATATTTACAATATATTTGTAAAAACATTTTTTATTATCCTTTGAAGTTCCTTCAAAACCTTGTTGCCCATCCAGGCTGGCATTGTGAGCTCATCTTTCAGCACACAGGGCCAGTCTGTTCCTGTGCCCTCAAGATCTCTGTTTTGAAGCATGCCCATCTTTCCTGGACTCCTTTGTTTTTAAGGGCTACTTCCCAAGGAACTCTTTGAATAAGTCTCCTAAATAGGCCAAATTCTGCCCTCTGGAAGTCCAGTGTAGAAGTCTTATTGATGTTCCTCCTGATTTCACCAAATACTGACAATTCTATAATTCCATGATCACTGTGCCCCAAGTGGCCTCCAACCACCACATCTCCCAGCAGCTCATCTCTGTTTGCAAACAACAGGTCGAACATAGTCCCCCCCCTGCTGGGCTCACCCACCAGCTGTGACAAAAAGTTGTCCTCCACACACTCTAAAAACTTCCTGGACTGCCTCTTTCCTGCTTTATTAAGTTACCAGCAGATTTCTGGTAGGTTGAAGTCACAAGAACAAGGGCTGGTGATCCTGTAACATTCTCCAGATGCTTGTAGAAAAAGTTGTCCACCTCTTTTTCCTGGTTGGGTGGATGGTAACAGACTCCCAGTAGGATGTCGGCCTTGTGGGGCTTCCCCTTAATTCTTACCCATAGGCATTCAACTTCATTGTCATTAGTTTCAATACCCATGGCATCAAAAGCCTCACTTATATAAAGTGCCACTCCTTTCTTCTCCCTTTCCTGTCTCTTCTGAAGAGCTTGTAGCCACCCAGTGCAGCACTCAGCTATCTGAGTCATCCCCCCACGTTTGGTGACTACATCATGGCTTTGCTGCGGCACCACAGCCTCCAGCTCTTCTTGTTTGTTACCCATGCTGTGTGCACCTCAGCTGGGCTACTGATTTCACCTCTAATTCAAGCTTTCCACCCTTGGGCCTGCTTCCAGACAGCCCAGCTGCATCCCCTTCTCCCTTCAAAACTAGTTTAAGCCCTCTCAATGAGTTCTGCCAGCTCATGAGCTAAAATCCTTCTGCCCTTAATAGAGAGATGCAGCCCTTCCAGTTCCAGCAGGCCAGGTGCCATAAAATGGCCATGGTCAAAGAACCCAAAATTCTGACAATGACACCAACCCTTGAGCCACTTGTTGATAATGTGGGCTCCCCTATTCCTTTCACTTTTTTTCTGCCACCAAAGGGACTGAGGAAAAGTCTACCTGTGCTCCTGCCCTATCAACCACTTGACCCAGTGCCCTAAAGTCCCTTTTAACTGCCCTGACACTCCTCTTTTCAATCTCATCTCTGCCAGCCTGGAGTATCAGCAGTGGGTAATAATCAGAGAGCTGAATCAGCCCAGCAAGTCTCTCAGTGATATCCCATACCCAGGCCCCAGGGAGGCAGCAGACCTCTCTGTGGGGTGGGTCTGCTCGACACATGGGGCACTCTGCTCCCCTCAGAAGGGAATCACCCACTACGACTATACTTCTTTTCTTTTTAATGTCAGAGGTCATCCTACGGATGAAGCATAATTAGGAGGCCCAATTATGAACAGATAATTTTCTTCTGAATCGTCTACCTGACTCTCTAGATCCAGGGTCTCATACCTATTCTGAAGTGGCACCTGGGTAGGTGATGTGGGTCAGGAGGAATTTTTATTATTACCTTCCTGAGCAGAAACCCACTTCCACTCCCCTTCACTGACCAGGTGTCCTCCTACTGCCTGACATCGAGAGGCATGGGACTCCTCTGACTCCTGGGGGGCCTCCCTCAAGGATGGAAGGGCAGAACTCCACCAATCTATTTCCCTTTCACTTTCCCTGAGACTCCTTAGTCTTTCAACTTCCTCCCTAAGCTCAACCACCAGCGAAAGGAGGTCATTCACCTGTTCACGCAGCAGGCAGGCTTCTTCTGCAATGACCCCTGGAGCCACTGATAAATGCAAACACTGCAAGGGCATGGGTCTGTACAGATACATCCTTTTTGGAGGCTTCTACTTGGTTACACATGTTCGTACTAACTAGAGTTTTTGATTGTGTAAAACCATTACTAACAAAAACTCCAAACTCCACTCCTTGCTACTACATACAAAATTGGTGTACTGCTAAAGGATAAGCAAGCTAATAATCTGATAGCATTTACTAGTGTCATCTTTGGAGGGAACCTTGGAAACACAAAGTTATAGATTTCAAACTATTGTGTCTTGCTCTAAAAGACAGGTCTCTGCCAAAGAAGGCAGGAACTTTCCTGGAATGGGGAATATGACCCTCTTCTCTCCAAATCATTATAACTTGGAAAATACAGGTTTCAGGCAAAGATACGGGAAAAAGAATAACAATTCTTTATGAATACATATATACATTCATAAACGACAAGAAAAACAAACCACAAGGACAGAAGCAGAGACCGATGAATGTCCCCGCTCCCGCAGCGCTTTCCCCGGGCGCAGTTCCGGGCGCGGCCGGCAGGGGCGCCGCTGGCCCCGGTTCCTCCGAGCCGCCAGGGGGCGCTGTGGCGCAGCTCGGCCGCCTCTGCGGCGCTCATGGCTGCCCTGCCTGCGGGGACACCCCGCACCTTGCTACGGGGCTCTCCCAAGTGCTCCAGAAACAACAACAAATTGAGCAGACTTGCAGTGCAGGAAAACCTGTTCGGATTGTATTTTGGTCGTACTTTGTATTGGGATAAAGCAGTCAGTAGCCACGTTGCTTGACTTCATAATGTCTCTCTGGGTGGAGGCCTTCATGTGGTTCTGGTCCTTAGGCTTTTTTGAGGTTTTAAAATGTTTCTGGTCCCTAGGTTTATCTTCTTTTCCGGAGATAGCTCTGGTATTGTCCCTAACACGTAGCTTTTACAGTAGAGCAGCACAGATTAGAATAGCTATTGCGCTGGGCTTGGTGATAATGATTTATAGGAAGTTTACAAAGGTACTGGAGCCTGTTCAAGGATTGTGTGGTTTATGGTTTCCTCGTCCTACCCGGTGTCGCAGTTCCAGCAGCATGTTTGGGGGGGGTTTATTGATGATTACACAGTTTGTTAGAGGAGGAGCAGGGGACGAGGCTTTCCAGCTTTCCTTGGGATCTGTTAAATCACCTTTTGGGGCTGCTCAGTGTCAGTGAGTGTTAAAGACATCACCTCCCGGTAGCTGCCTGCTGTTCATCGCTCGCTCTGTGTCCGGAGCCCGGGCCGTGCCGAGGGGCCGCTGAGGCCCTGCCCGGGAGCCGCCCCACCCTCACAGGGCCCCGGGAGCCACACGGGCCGGCCTGGCCTCCGAGCGCCTCCTTATCCCCCGAACCCGCAAACACCTTCAGGGCAGCCCCTTCTCCGTCTGTCTCTCGGCATCAGCCGCAATCCGCCCCCAGGCAGGACTGTCTCAGCTGCGAATTTTGTTTCCTAAGTGCCCCGTTTGTCTCTGAGACAACGCCCTCCTCACGTAGTGTCCTGCTTCCAGGTAAAAGATGGGAGAAAAATTCAATGGAAAAAACAAACCCAGAGTATGTGGGGAAAGTAAGGAAGAAAAAAAAATCCAACAAACTTGTAATCATTCTTCATTTTTCTGTTAACATCAAGAATGGAAATAAATTACTTTTAGTAACCTTTGAACCACGCTAAGTAATGAGATCAGGTGCGCGGAAGAAAATAACATCAAAAGCACAATCTGACCTGTACAACCGCCCTAAGAAACTCAAAATGCTGAGACTGGCAGAGGCTGCAGAGCTTCTGTCACGCACATTCATGAAGAACTTATTACCTAAACTCCAGTGTGTTCTGTGGACATTACAAGGATATTGCAAACCTTTAGAGCTTGTACCTCCTGTAGTAATCAGCCAAACAAAGGTCTGGTGTCTTCTCTCCAGCTGGCATGATTTGCATAGAAATCACTTCACACATAGCAGAACACATACTGGAAGCCTGTTTGACTGTTCCCAAGCCTGAATTCAATGCTTTCAGAATGTCTTCTATACACAATAACTGAAGAGACACAAAAGATTTTTTTGTGATTCTAACTATTGTGTCTCATGAAGGTGGCACACTTGTTCTCATTTATTTCCTGTGCTTGATGTAGTTTTCAGCACACTACAGAAAATCCAGCATGACTAAAAAATGCCTTCATAGGAGGATTTACTGGGCTACTACTGCCAGTTGATGTTTCATTAAAGGTGTGTAACTTATGAGAATTTTAAAATCATAGATTTACCTTGTTTCATAGATACTATGCTAGATTTAGATGATACAACACCAAATAAATTATTCGACTGTTTTATTCTAGTACATTAACTCTAGCCATTCCAATTTATCCTTTTTCTGTTACCCACCTGACAACAGCAAATTGCTATTTTCCCTTGACCACAGCTGACAGAACATCCTTACTCTTCTACTGCACCTGCCTTCCTGTTACAGTATCTTCCACATCTTCCAGTCCATAAATTGAAACCATGAGGTAGTTTCAGCTTCCTTTCACAAGATAACATTAAAACATTCTTCCATTCCTACCAAGAAAGGGAGAAAACAATCCAGCATTTGTGGAACTGTGGGCACATTCAAGTTTCATTGATGAATTTACAGAGCATATTCCATTCATAATAACTGAACATAATTTTGCCATTATTTGGAATAAATAATGTGTTTATATATTCAAAGAGCAAACATTGCTGTCACCTTTTCAAAATCAAAACCACAGGAGAATTCAGAGTGAAAGGAATGAGGGACTTGTCTTTACAAACACACTGTGGATCTGCTGGTAAATAGAGCTAGATACTGAGAGATAAAAGAAACAATGGGAAGGATTCCAGTGATTGATAAATGGAATGAGAGATTTGTCTTTACAAACAAACTGTAGGTCTGCTGATAAATTGGATACTGAGAGATGAAAGAAGCAATGGGAAGAACCATAAATTCCATAAGGAATTCCACTGAGTGACACCTGGAAAAGACAAAAGGTGGGGGATATACATTAGAAGGGAGTCTCAGGTGTTTGGGAAGTCTGTACCTCCCAGGTACCTCAGGCAATGGGGAAAGGTAAATGTGGCTGGGAAACTGGGATAAAAAGGAGGCTGCTTCCTCCTAAAGTCTGAGAGACCACAGAGGAAATGCCCCGTGGCCTCTCCCTTTATTCGAATAAAGTTACAGGAGTCCTCTGTCTCCTTTTTGGACATCAGCCTCTGGTGCTTGTGGATTAATTCTCCTGAGAGGAGTAAATATCAGTAGTTCCAACGCATTTGCCAACTACAGCTAAAATAGGAGCATTGTTTCTTACTCCATCATAGAACAGAGCATTTTGTACTCTGTTTTGGTTGTGTAAATAGCAGGGAGAGTCTGACCCTCAGCAGTCACATTAAGGTCAGTAGGTACCAATGCTATGTGAACTGACAGAGCATTGATGAATACTCACCTTATCTTTTTTCACAGTTTCTAGAACATTGCTCCTGACCATTAAGAAGTCATTCAAACCCAGCTACCTCTATTTTCAAGCCAGAAAGATGCTGTTTTTCAGGCCAGGAGATTGCCTTTCACCAGCTCAGAAGACCTTAGGACCTCCCAAGACTTTTTCACCATAAAAAAATCATGCCACTATCCTGGCACATTGCATCAGGAGTTCCAAGAATTTTTTCCCTTGGGAGTACAAATCCTTCCTTGGGCAGGCATGGCTCTTCTGTTTAGGAGAGTTCTAAGCACTGATCCTTCTCTGCAAATGTAGTGTAAATAAGTATGGTAAAAACTCCATGGTGTCAATCAGCTTGAATCTAGAAAAGCAGATGCACTTTGAAGGCTTCTTTATGTTTAAAAAGGTGGTTTCTCAGGGAGTGAGCTATCCAGATTTTTTTAGTCCTGAACTATTTTCTTCTGTACTAAACTTATTTCAACATATCTATAAAAGCACATGTTCAGATATGAAATATAGAAATATATATTTTTGCTATTAGAATTTTTTTATACCTGAAATGTTTGGTTTTGGTAAATATAAAATGAAAATGAGGCTACAAAAGTAGCACAGAACATCATAACCTCAGTGGACTGGTTCAATTTTCAGTGCTTCCTCAGCTACAGGTGGGCACAAGACAGATATATCTTTCAAAAGTAATGTTAACTGGTAACCCCTCCTTGGTGGAAGGCCAGTGGAATGCAGCCTGAGTTTTGGACTCAAAAAGGAGGTCAAAGTCAGGCTTTGTTTTTAAAAGAGAAAAACACTAGGAGTTGGTTGTTTATCAGAAAAATAATTGATTCTGATCAGACTTTGCAGCACTGTTAAAAATGTTGCAATCTTTGAAATAAAAACTGGTGTGATATATTAAAGCTAATTTTCTACAGAGGCCATCAAAATTCCTTTAGAACAGCCTTAGGAAGAGACTTCTTGATTTTCTGGTGACCTTTTGGATAGAATGACATACCCAGCATTTATGAGTTGAACAAGTCTCTGAACAGCTCTGCTTAAAAAATACATGATACCAAAAGAAATCTCTTGTTGGACTAAAGACTCCACAGTATTCAGGCAGGTCTAGTACAAAACCTTTAGAAGACCTGAATAACTTTTCAAAAGCTTTATTTGTCAGAAAAAAAGCCAATTACACTGTAATCAAGAAATAAGTAGGGAAAAAATACAGGTATTTAAACCCCATATATTCTGGGAAGAGCTATAGTCTATTAAGTAGTTCTATTACAAATTACAGTCACCTGATATTTCCTGATGACTTCCACAAGATGCAAAGACCTTGCAAACCAGCATCACCACAGCTATTAAAACATACCATTTCTTATATTCCACTTGCAGCATACCTGCAATTACTTAGGAAAAAAAAAAATATTTAAAGGATGACAGTACTGAGATCAAATCTTAGAACACATCTATTAATGGTCAGATTCAAAGAAGATCAAATGCAAGGAAACACACTGGTCCTCAATAAAATTAAATAACCTGCAAGCAGGAAGGTTAGCATGGAAAGTATCCACTCTGAGATAATGCTAAGCTACAATTAAAAGCTGCACCGTGGGGATGATCCTTATCATTTGCTTTAGTATTGGTCAAAGCAGAACATACATTACTGAAAGCAATAAATACCAACCCTAACAAACATTAACCTTTATTATTCATAATGATAATAAAAAGTGTATTTTTATACTGTGCACTTGCTATTTCCTGAATTAAAGTTGAAAATTACTTTTTACGATTTAATTGGTAAATAGCATTTGAAAAGGTTCAAAGACAGTGTTTAAATAGGACCAGCCCTCAAAGTGTTTGTCTCTGTAGTCTTTTGGAATTTTAACTCATTCATGCCTTCATCTGTGTACCTATTCCAGAGGGAAGAATTCTTTTCCCACAGCTGTGAAATGTAATTTCTCTTGTCTATGGAGAAAATAATACTAGAATCCTTGAAATCAGTGTTTATTTTTTCCTTCAGTGGCTGAGGAAAAGAAGGATTGCTGGTAAAATTAAAAAATATTTTAATAGGTTTACAGCATCCCAAGAAGAGCAACCCTTAAAACAAAACCAGACAATAAAAGAAGATACTTTTCTATTTTTATGAAGAAACAGACTAGTTAAGGTCAAATCGCTGCAGAGACTTAAGACACCTATTGACAGGTGGGAACTCTCCAGACAGACATTCCAGGTTGACTAAAGAAAAAAAGCTGCTTAGGCAAAAACTCAAACAACCTATTTTCAATGTTGCTTTTATGTGATCTGAAGAAACAAAATGGGGTACAGACCTGAAGGAGAAAGAAAAGACAACTGACACATCTACAAAAAAAAAAAAAAAAAAAAAAAAAAAAAAAAAAAAAAAAAAAAAAATCAAAGATTACCTGCACTAAATCTGAGAAAAATTCCTCAGCAAAACTTTACTTAACAGATCATTAAGGATTACAGACCCAATTATCTTTTCATGAAAATTACATGTTTTTTTTTGGTCTCTAAGTTCCAGGGTAGAGATGATGTGAAAGATGTGCCTGCTTCATTTCAAGGCACAAAGTTAGCCCCATAATATGACACCCCCTCTCTTTCCCCCATTCCTTTTTTCTTTTCACAGCTTGATATAGTGTCTGTGGCATTTCAGCAACAACACAGGTATGATAAGATTATAACACTTCCTTTCAAAATTATCAGAATAAGGAACACAGAAGTACATTGCATAATATCTGATCCCAAATGAGGCATGTGAAATTGAAGGATACGAAAACATAGGTTAATTTAGTCATACATCAAAATAACCATGAATAATATTTTAAAAGTCCTTGTAAAACTTGCAGAAAAAGCAATAAATTGTTCATACCTGCCTTTTCATGTGGTTGTAGCAATGCTGTAATTTTAACATGTTTTATTCTCTTGATCTGTAGGCAAAAAAAACCCCAGCAACTTTTGTCTGGCCATACTTACTGTGGTAATTTTTCAATAAGACGTTGTTTAAGATGGAAGAGCTTCTCTTGTATCTTAAACCTATGTCTGTGAGAATTAAACAAGAAAAACAAAGAGAGGAAAAAAGCCAGTGACTAAAAATGTACAGTTTTGATTTTGTTTTCTGTACCGCTATTACTTTGCAGCCTCAGTCTTGGAGAAAAACATTGCTAGCACAGTCTGGCTCAAACATCAGAAAGCATGGCAAATATAAACTAAGTGTTTCACATGTTCTTAAGAGTCCATTTTTAGTCACAGATTTACATCATCATTGCAGAGGGAATTCCTGTTGATCAATCCTGCATGCTTAAAAAGTTTTTTTTTAAAAAAGTGAGGAAAACAATTGTCAGATCGTGCTTAGGACAGTTTTGTTGATACTCAGGCACAACAGTTTGGACTTATTTCCAGCCCTGCACTGCCTGCTTATGAGCCATTATCTCAACAAGGCAACAAATGTTAAAAATTAACATCAGGAATCAGTACCTGAACATCTTTTAGCTTATAACAGTAGATATTTATTGAAAAACTCAGCTGCATTTAGAGGGGTTTGGTCAGGACTTGCTGATTTGAATGTCATACAGCAAAGGAGCTGTACAACTGCATTGCTGAAAACAATTAAGTAATTAACATGATTAAGAGTCTTTTGGCAAGTGTTTTAGGGATGACTAGCTCAAAAGAAGGCAGTTACCTTATTACAGAATTCAGGATAATAATACTTTTTTTCCTGGATATGCAGCTGCACAGAAACAGAGAATAGCATTTTCCACTAAAGCAATATTTACAAAAATGGAAAATATTTGTAACTGCAAGCAAAGGGAACACAAGCTGCCCACTCAGCTGCCTCAGGTTAATGAAAAACAAAGGAAATATTTTTGCTCATGCTTCTCTACCTTCTCAAGACAAAAACATCGACTACTTTTGATAGGATTCAAATAACATCTGGACACATGGTTCTAATGTACACATAATATGACAATTTTTTCAAGGTTATCTTTCCAAAGCATTGTGAAATTAGCAACTGCTTGCTATAAAGATCATAAAAATAGAATCTCCAAATTATGGTTCACTCTCACTATGTAATGCACTACTTAGGCACTGGACAAACATTCTCACAAATGGAACAAAGATGGGTTTTCTTGTTTTTAAAGATAAACTAATTTGACTATCAGTTTACCTGTGGTTCCTAACTCAAAACTTCTTGGCAGAGAATGGGTTTAATAATTACCTTTTATAACCTCTGTACTTAAGCTGTTGCCCCTTCTGCATGTTCTGGTTTCAGACATGAACATGCCTTGCTTATAACTGGCTGGGGAATCTAAGAGGAGAAATACACTTGACAAGGATTCCTGGACCAAATTAACACCAAACAAATATAAATAAATAAGGTAAGTGAAAGCCAGAATTGCTAAAGGTAATGATTGAAGCAGTCTAAATACATGACTTTAAAAGAGAGACATTGGGCACAAAGCTATGAAGTTCAGTCACTCAAGCCCTGCATTCTACATGTGTGCAGTTTACATATGTTCATATGTTTCTATCAAATGTTTAATCTTAAAAGTTGGATTCATTATGAGTCTTTAAACCAATCTTTAATTCAAAAGATAAACTTGATGTCTTTATAGACTAAATGTTTCTAAAGACCAACAATACTGAGATAGGTGTTCTGTCAGTTTAAAAAGCTGCAGTTTTTGTAGCCAGTTTTTCCCTAATTTACTAAAAACCCCCAACTTATGTTGCCTAAACATTGTGCTTTCCAGAGTTACCAGCTGTATAAAAGCATAAGGATCTTCAGCATTCAAATATAAGTAATTACAGCTGTAGAGTTTTAGGAGAGAAGAGATTTTTGACTGAATCTACTTTAGAGTCTCAGTTCCAGTTCTAAAAAAGACTAAACACTGAGTGGAAGACATTCACCTTGAATCAACACAGAGAAGATTGGCGACTCTTTCTGAGGCAAAGAGCTGCTAAATAGATAATTATAGCAGCCCAAACTCTGTTTAGCAGATGCTTCCATCTCCGAGGAACTGAAGCAAGGTCTAATTTATTGAAGAATGGAAAGAAGGTCTCCTAGATAAGAAGAAAACAGACTAGCTTTTGGGAGGAAGATAAAATCTTCCAAGGAATTCCAAGGGAGGACTGGCTATGAAAGCTTGGTTGTTCCAGTAAGGACATCCTCGAAACTGAATGTAATCTGTGACAGGAGACACGGACATTCACCTGCAGGGTGGGTATAAGGAAAATCCACTGCAAATCAGACGGATGAGGTGAAGTAGACATAAAATCTCCTCTTCATTTTCTCTCTGAGTAGGTAGATTGATGGAAGTGTTTTGCCTCTGAGTGAGTGCGTGCATGTGTTTGTTTTCTGGTAATATTTACCTATACTACTCTGTATCCACATATATCAGCAAAAGCCAAGCGACATTAATATGCTAGAGTAAGATTTTGCTTTTATTTCCTTAGAAATTTCAACAAGGAAAAAAAATGGGCAAGGAAAGCTTGAAGAAAAGAAAAGGAGAGCACAAAGGAGGAGAGGATGGACAATCCATTCAGAGCCATGTACCTCAAACGATGAACCTACAAAAGCAGGCAAACCTTTTTCTTTTCCCCCTTTGGTCCTTGTGTGAGGGGTTGGCAGAGGGAGGCAGAAGGGGATATTTGTGCATGTGCATCAGCATACAAAAACAACTACTGTATCCCAATTTAGCGAAAACATGCTAATAGCTCAACAATGTTGTTGATATATTAGCATATGTACAGAAATTGCTAATTACTAAAGTTAAATAGCTCTGATATAAACAGACTAAACCCCCAAGAATATGTCATTGAAGTTATCAAATATTAAAATAATTCAAAGATTTATTCTAAGTTGATCAACTGAGTCGTTTCATAAACTTTTTTTTTCCCACATGTACTTTTCAGAAGTTGTAGTGTGGCTTGTCCTGCTCATTGTTTCTGAAAGTTTGTTAGTGTTTCTAGCCAGAGAATAGGCACTGGTAATTAAAGACAAGTGAAAATCTGTCTCCTCCAAAAAATTACAAATGCTTTAGAAAACAGTTGTGTCACTGCTTCTCAGGAGGGGGTGGCATTTTTCCTAAAATTATTTTAAGTAGCCTGGAAAAAGATTATCTGGTTTTAGTTTGGTGCCAAGACTGGAAAAATACTGATGTTATTAGAGTAGCCATAGCTATCAGAAAATATTAAGTAGCCCATGCCACTTGTTTTAGTAATACATGCCTCAATTTCAGTGGTTTCATCTAATATTGTAGGTCACTACAGATTTAGGAGAACACGATCTTGTCACCACCTAGTGGTATCAACACAATTCCTAGGTGCAAATATTTAAAGCAAGGAAAGGAAAACAGCTGCTCAACAAAAAAACCGCAAATAGACCCAGACTCCATCCATGAAAGACAACTTCTGAATCTTAGAAAATTCAGAATTCATCAAGTCCTTGTAAAAGGATGTCATTGCTTAATCAGAGAAGGAAGGGCAAGTTCACCCATTCAAGGTTATATTTGAGACTCACATAATCCAAAACACCGTTTAATATTTTATTATAATTTTATAATAAAATATTATATATAAATAAATATATTATAATATAAATATAAATAAAACATTATTATATTTTATTATAATTTAAAGGAAATAGGCAGGCAAAACACAAATAGATGTACTTTTGAAAACAGCAGGAGTACACCACAGGGTAAATACAGATCTTAGAAGGAAGAGTGAAACTTCACAAAATTGTTTAATATATTTCTTTATAGAACTTGTATATTGAAAGCCAGTAAAAATAAGTCAGTAATGACAATTCCTGTAGTTCCATGATGTTGAGAAGTAATTGGTGAATTACTAGAAATTGCTTAAAAAAAAAATCTCATTTTATTTCAAGGTGGGCCTCATTAGTGGAATCTGTATGATTGTTGGTACAATTATTGGCTCTGGTATCTTCGTTTCTCCAAAGTCAGTGCTTGCCAATGTTGAAGCTGTGGGTCCTTGTTTAACCATCTGGGCAGCCTGTGGAGTTCTGGCAACATTAGGTAAAGGACTCAACAAAGAATCTGAATCTTTGCCTTAAATATGTCTGCTGTTTCTGCATACTACTCTCATTTCACAAATTAGCTAATAACACCTAGACCAAAATCAACTAAATCCTTCTCTATATATGCATAGCAGTACTCAACCATAATTTTAAAATAGGGTGTTTATAGAAGACAAATTAAGTTTTAAAATTGTAAATCACACTCAATTTTTCTTGAAAGTTTTAGTTTTTCCTGCTTCATCCACTGACTGTAATAAAGTGAATACTCTTCTACTTAAATATTGGCAATATATGAAATTTACTGATAGTGAGCTAGGTACTTCTGCTAGCTTTCTACTCCTGTAATTCTAATTTTATTATCTGAAAATTTAGCACTAAACACCTCAAAATATTTCACTAAGTAAAACAAAGAAATTTTTGAGCATTGTATCAAGAGGGGCAGCATACAAGAAAAACCTTAACTCAAGATGCCACATACAGCAATAAAACAGGAGGTATCACTGTACTTTTATGTGGAGCTTAGACATTTGATTTCAAAATTTTGCAGAAAGCTGTTTTTTTCAAGTTTCTAAACATGTCAGCCAGTGCAGTTCTCACTTAAAAGCTTCTTGTAGTGTTTATTTCTTAAACAGAAATTGAATGAAATCCAAATGTTTGTTTGTACTGGTTTTGGTGAAGTCTTAAACAATGATAGTAAGTTTTAGGCTGCATCTGAATAATTTCAGGATTTTTTTTAAATTTCTCACATGTAATTAAAATTTTATTTTGTGTATACAGTAAAATATACAGAAACATGAAGAGAGTAATGATGCACTGTATAGATCAATTTCATTAACTTTCCTACCTATTAAAAAGCGATCATCTGTTCAAGCAGTCCCAGTTCAAAAATGCATGAACTAAACCTGCTTTTCCTGTTATTCAGGTGCACTTTGTTTTGCTGAGCTTGGTACAATGATCACAAAGTCTGGGGGAGAATATCCTTACCTTATGGAGGCATTTGGCCCAATTCCAGCATTTTTGTTTTCTTGGACGAGTCTCCTGGTTACAAAACCCAGTTCATTTGCAATCATCAGTCTCAGCTTTGCTGAATATGCATCAGCTCCTTTTTATCCAGGTTGTGATCCGCCCCAAGTCGTCATCAAATGTCTTGCAGCAGCTGCTATTGGTAAGAGTCACACTTTTTAAGGCAGAGCAGATCCAAAGCTGCACAGTGACTTGTGTCTGGCCCCATCAATAAGAGCACTTCAG